GAAAACCTATCAAAAGAACTGTTTTTTTTATAATCATCTATTACTTTACTATTAATTAAATATGTACAAGGAAGAATAATTATTATATATATTATTGGAAACAAAATACTATATAATCCAACCTCTGGAATAGTATAATTTAATTTTTAAACAAGTATATAATTTAATACTAAAAAAGAAAGAGTTATTGCTATTCTAATTGTCTTTGATGAATTACAGACTAAAGAAATACTGATGAGGCCCTGTTTGGCACGCAGTTATAAAATAAAATGGCATTTGTCCTGAAAATGTATTTAAAGCCATTTTTAAAAAATTGCTTTTTTCAGAAAAAATAGTATTTGGCAATGGTTTCTCTTTGCTTTTCTAGTTGATATATGTAAGCAAAATACATCCTAAATAATGAGTATAAATTATTTAAACCTAAAGTCAAGCACCTAGTATTGTCAGTATGATTGCTTTTATAAAACCTCTATTGTCTCTCAGCTAGCCACAAAGCTTCAGGAAATAATCACAAGATATGTGGAAAACCTCAGTAAAGAATCACAAATGTGTTCTCTTATCCAGCAGCTCTAGTATATTTGCTTTACCAATAAGAGCAGAGTTTCTACAAACTAGCTTTTCAGAACTGCTTCCAACTTCTTCACTTGCACCAGTTGCTAGCTGGAGTAGCAAACCTCCATCAAGTTTGAAATGCTGAGATATGTCATGGTCTGTTTGAATCGAACTATTGGTAGAATTTATTGTACCTATATATTGAAATTCATTTGTAAATTGCTCTTTGAATCAATCAGAATATTTTGAAAAGGATGATAGAAACATTCACTGGAATTATTATGTCTCTCATCAAAATTGTATTAGTCATTTCATTAATTTTATTTTTATATTTCTATTGTACCCTAATCCCCTGTTTATTTTACAAAAAAACAGCCATAAAAAAAAAGGCAACTCTACTTAAAAAAAAGCCATTTTTATAAGTGTGTCAAACAGGCTGCTCTTTTTGTTTTAAAAAAAAAAAAAAAGAGCGGAAAAATAGCATAAAAGTGAGAAAAATGCTATTTTTCTTGCGTGCTGAACAGGGCCTCAGAGAATAAATGAGAAATACTCAGTTTTTCTGACACCCCAAATAGGGCATGGAGTTTGGAGGCTTTGTACTTAATGACTATATTATTCAGTGTTTTAAAGTGTGACAAGCAATTCTCAATAAAGGTTTCCTGACTGTCAAGTATGGAAATTAATATGAATAAGAATCAGATATAAAATATTAATATCCTACTGTAGCAGATTTTTTGCCTGATCCACTGGCAGTCACTTGGCTGTATGATACAGTCGTGTCTGGAAAGTTTTCATACTCTCGCATAGCAACTGTACAACTACAACTCCCAACTATAAAAATTTCAAAAAAAATGTAAAGAATTTAATTAAAGAAAACATAATAGTATTGCTAGTAGACAATAAAAAAAATTATTACCATTTAGTATGGCCTCCATTTGCATCCAGTACAGCTTGCTTTCTCTCAGGCATCCTACCTATCTATCTATCCAACTTCTCTTGGGGAATTCAATCCCACTCTTCCTTTGCTGCCTCAAACAATTCAGCTGTACTATGAGGCCTTCTTTCCTGTCTGGAGAATCACTTGATAAGGGCTCTTTTGAGTTGTCCTAATATGTTCTCAATAGGATTGAGATCTGGTGAGTTCAGTGGTCAAGGAAGTTTTTTGTAACCACAGTCTGCTTCTAATTTTCAATTTTCCTCACCAGCATACCAGGAAGCACTGTCTTCAACAAGGTAGATATTGTCAGAAGGTCTATCCAGACCCTCTATAAAAGGGATAAGGTAAGGCTGCTGTATCTCAGTTGCATATTGGTGAAAGTTTAGGCCAAGTCTATCTCTTTTGCTTGTCCTTTCCTCCTTCCTCCTCTTTCTCACAAGAATTAACTCAGTCTTTCCCCCCTTCATCATTGCAGCATATACTCCAATTCTAGTCCTTCCAGACTTAAATTTAGGCTTTATGTTTTTTTCTTCCAGCTCTTTACCAGGTCTAACTCTGATCTTTCTGCTTATTGAATTTAAATCATAAATAATAGTGGCTTTATCCACAAAAACAACCCAATTCCATGCCTCTTTCCAGTTCCTCCTTCTCCTAGCAAAATCTCTTCTTTTCTCCTTTTATCCTTTTCACTAAAAAGGCTTTTTCCTAGGTATCAAAAGCTTAAAACCAGCTTCTGATATGATCTTATTAATAGTGGTTTTACCAAGACTGATATTCGCTTTTTTGGTAACATTGTATAACACTAAATGAGGCTCGGTATCGATAACTAACTCCACCATCTTTCTTTTTATATTGGTAATTTTGGTTCGTCTTCCACCTCTTTTTGCATGCATTGTTTCCACCCCTAGATTTAGCTCTTTTAACTACAGACTGAACAGTTGACTTGGATACACCTAAAGACTTACAAATTTTGTCATATCCCATATCTGTATATTTATACAGAGTATAAATTTCCTTATTCAGGTCTTCTCTTGCTCTTAGGTTATGTGGAGGGGCCATGGTGAGGAGGGTTGTTGTGGTGATGAGGTGTTGCAGGGTTGCCCCTCAGGGGTACGAAAACTTTGCGGACACAACTGTACATACCTGGTTTCACTAGTATTCCAAAACACTGGCAGAGAAAAATAAATAAAAATAAAAAAAACTACAGTCACAACTGATTTGAATGATAAGTTATGTAGCAATTATGAGTCTAGCTCTCATATAGATTTATAGAATAAAAGTTTATGCACAAAATAAAAAAATATCAGTTTCCTGGTTGGTGCCGAATACACACCTCTATATAAAATTTTTAATATGCCAAAATATATACTATAAATGTCACTTTGGGCCATAAAAGTGACACGCTGAACAGTGCCTAAAAACAAGGAAATATAGAAGAGAAAGGAAAAGAAAAAATTGGTGGTGTTGGCCAAAAAGGGTAGCTGATGAGTACTTAATTTAATCCGTGACCGAGCACTCGAGCACTCAAACCCCCGTTCCCATACCACAGCAGTTACCAAACTCTCAAAGAGCACTCCACTACTACAAAACTAGTAAATCAAAAACCAATCGTTGTCTCTCAATGCACGCCTTCGAAACCCCCCGCCTCGGCTTCCGCCAAATCACGGACGAAGACGTCCAAGCCTTCTACGGGATTCTATCGAATCGGGAAGATATGCGCTACGGATCCACTCTACCACACACAACCCTTTCAGAAACCCACAAGTGGGTAACGAAATCCACCACCACAACTACCCACGACTACGCAATCCTACTCAAACCGACCAACGAAGTAATCGGCAAGATAGGTTGCTTCGGGTCCGATATTGGGTTCCTGCTGCATCCGCGGGTGTGGCGTCGCGGTTATGCAACTGAGGCACTGGAAGCTTTTTTACAGGTGCTTTGGGAGGGAGAGGTGCAAGTGGTCACGGCTGATGTGGACCCTAGGAATGAGAGGTGTTTGAAGCTGTTGGAGAAGTTTGGGTTTGGGATTGTCTGACAGGCTGAGGGGACATATGTGACTTGGGAAGGCGTTTGTGGGTCTGTTTACTTAGAGTTCCAGAGGCCGAGGATTAGGGAGAGAGGGAAAGCCACAACAGAATGGAGAGAGTGAGGGAGAAGAAATTGAAATTGGGGGGCTGAGAGAGGGGGAGTAGTGGGATCGTTCCCAAACTGGACTGGATATTAGACGCTATCATTCTAAATATTATCCGACCTCCATGACCGTTCATCCAACAACGTATTTCATCTCTCCCACTGATTCCTTTCGTATTATGCACAGGCTTGCACTTTACCTCCTCATACGTACCGCCAAAACCGGAACACTTGAGAATCACATTGGGCGCCCACCCAAAATCCCCCTCGCATCCAGATCAAAAGCAGGCACAGCGAAGAGCTGTCCTCCAGCCCTTCTTCCGAGACAGGTGGAGAGAAAAATACTATCGGCTGTGGGGGGATCTCCTGAGAATGGGGCGTCCTCCGCCCCCTGCAGACCGGGCAATGGCAGTTATTCAAGACAATGTATTCGGGGAAAGTAGGAAAGGGAAAGGAAAATAGAGAAAATAATAGAAGAGAAAAGAGGCGATATCCGGGTTCATTCGTTCTTTCTGCATGTTCTAGTCAACGAAGATTCGTACTCATATGATAGGATTGATAACTCAAGTGATCTTCCTATGCTCTCTTTGACCCGTATATAATATACATAAAAAATACCGCTATTGTATTCCCCCCCCAAAGTAACCATGCTACCGGCCTCAGAAGTAATACGATAGGTAGAAACACTGCTCACCAATGCTACAAACGTCCTCTTTACTGACAGGGGGATAGTCAACTTGCCCACCCACTAAGATCCCTTCAAAAATTATCTCCCCGACAGCCGACAACCTGTACCGCGCACGCAATAGCAGACTCGGAGGAAAGTTTCAATCTATCATCCACATCACTCCACTACACCCGACCCAGCCTTACACTCCCTACCCCCCCTCCTGCACATAGACAAGAAGCATACCCACCAAGAGCTAATATAACATGTATCTTCAAGACCAATCATTCAACTTCTATTCCCAAATCGTACTGTGCTGTTGGCCCGCCTTAGTCCCCACAAACGTGAATTTCCGACAACAGGGTGGTGCAAGACCAAGAAGGAAGGCAAAGCAGTGGAATGGATGGTTGAGCTACCGGTGGGTTTGTCTTTTTCTTTATACCCCAACCATAAATACCGCAAGAAGTAACACAATACCCGGTGGACGGTGGGTATCATACTGGGGAGTTAGCATAAGTCCCTAGAATGCCCGCACTAGCAAAACGCGCTCGTGCTAGACTGTGGCAATTGATTCAGACATCTCCCCTCCCACATACGATACCTTCGGGCTGGCCCCCACTGTGGCATTCTCGCCCGAGTGATATACCATGCAGACAAAAAACATACATCACAAACACATTTGAGCCGGCCACAACCACGTTCCAAAAAGAGTCCCTAGACCACCTCTCAATTGTCAAATATCATAGCTACATACATCCCATCGCATCGAAGCAAGAAAAAGAAAAACCCCCCCAATCGTTGCATAACGCCAACTACTTAATAATTCCTACTCCTAAACCTGCCAACCGCAGTCTCAACATCAGCCGCGGGACGGGGCTTGAATTCTTCATTATTCGCATCAATTTGGTTAAGTTCCTCCTCGGTAGCATTATGATGCCTAAAACAGAACCAGAAGGCAGTGCCCGCAAGAGCAGTAACGCCAGCAATGCAAGCATAAAAGGTGACGAGGTTTGGGTTCTTGCTAGTGGGTGAGATGGCGATTCCGATGGCGGAGCCGAAGGCATTCTGTAAAAGGAAGATTCCCATCACGACTGATTTCATTGATGGCGGGGCTTTGGTGAAGGCGTACTCGAGACCCGTTATGGAGGCGAAGATCTCGCTGAGGCCGATGAGCACGTATGCCGGTGTTTGCGCCGCCACGTGCACCTTATTCGGGAGTGCGCCTTCTCTTGAGGCTGGGCAGGAGAGCGGGAAGTCGAAGCAGGGGCTCGTGTTGTAAATCCAGCGCTGGATCCCCGCAGCGTATGCCATCGAGGAGGCAGCTAGGAAGAAGCCGAAGGTGATCCTGGTGATCGGCTTGAATGGGATTCTCAGTTTGCGGAGGAACGGGTACACGCCGCTCTCCATGATAGGGATGAAGATGATGATGGATATGGGGTTCAAGTTGAACAGGAGATCGTTCGGGAGACCGTGGGTTTCCATTGTTCCGGCCATGGAGATGAAGTTGCTGTTCATCTGGCCGTAGAGAAGCCAGTACACCGGGTAGAAGCAGAAGACACGGCAAGCGATAAGTGTGCGCTTAAGTTCATTGATGAATTGTTCGCCAAATTGTGGGATTGCAGCGTCCATCTGAAAGCCGTTTCGTGCAGCCATACCTAGTGCTTTACCCGCGTCTAAAAGGACTGAGCCCTTCGGCGGACGGACAACATAACTCTTGCGACCGACAACGAGGGTGAAGAAGCCAACGAAGAGAAAGCAGAAGGGAAGGAGGTATGCTGCCCAGAAGTCGATCTTGAGTTCTAGCCAGACGGTTGCGATAGAAGAGAGAGACCCAATATTGATACACCAGTAGAAGATATTGTACAAGCTCTGGACGGTGACATTGGGATCGATAATCACCCGTTCACCGCTTGTGAGAACTTTGAGGGCGGGCTTGGTGCGGGTGTACTGTTCGGCGATCAATGGAGAAACATTGGACTTGATACCACCAGTCCCAAGTCCCATGATGATCATACATCCGATAAGACCACCGAGGCCAGCACCATTACCAAGTGATGCTGGGAGAGAAGTGACGAAGAGGACCAGAAGACCACATATATAAATGAGGGTGAAGAGCGCAATTGCGTTATAACGACCGACCCAGGCGTCCGCAACAATAGCACCCAATAACGGTGTAACGTAACACCCTATTATTTCTCAATCACAACACTCTTCACCAAAAAGAGTATTTACTTTGAGGGCATGAAAGCTTACAAAATAGGAAGAAGTACTGCAATCCTGTAGCCGCAGACTGTCCAAGACCCAACGCGCCAGGGAGGCGAGGGTCGTCCCGCTTATTTTGCATGTAGTTTTGGAACGGTCCGGTCAAACCGTAGAAGGTGAATCGCTCAGCCAATTCAACGACCGCAACCAGCCACGCGCTATACGGAATTTTATCACCGATATGGCGCAGAGTAGCCAATTCCTCCTCACTCGGTTTCTCACCGTCTTCACCCCATGAGACCCTGGTCACGGAGTTTCCATCTTCAGGGGCTGTAATGTGTCTCCTGTTGTTTTCACCGTATTAGCATTCCTCGATGAGAATAAGGGACTTTAGAAAGGGGTTTTACATACAAGCTCTTCTCATTGTCGAACACAACGGCATTTGAATCCATCTTATCTGCTGGAAGTTCAGACATATTGGCTGCGGGATTTCTCGTTGTGGTTGAGTGTCTGGCCACAACGGCTACCTAGGCCCTGGGAGACGCAAGGAAGGAAGAAGGGAGTTGACCGAGATTGGGTGTGCATGGCCTTTTATGCCTAATGTGGGCCCCCCGCAGCGTACATAATCCATCACCACACCCTCTTCGGACAGTCGCCCCCGCAAACACATTTTGGGGCGCATTGTTGATAAGAAAATGTATGCTCCTGACACCGTTTGGGGAGTGATTCCGAACCTAGTAGATGAGTAGGGTCATTGAGAGATACTGGTGATCCTCTACTACTTTCGCACAAAACTGTGCCAAAATCAGTACCGGTTGTACTAGAAACTGTGACACGCAGCCAGGCTCCCCTTCCTTCTTCACACAATCATTCCACCCCTTCATCGCATGAATTCGAGCGCACAGCCACTTCCGATTCCCTCGCCACGATTGCCCACTAACCCCTATGATCCCACCTTCACAAATTTATACAAATATAGCTCGTATCCCGAACATCTGTCGGTCGCCGTCGCCAAATGCAATACCCGCACATTGGCATGTCCTTCCCGCATTGTGAAAGCACAGCGATATAGTCTCAAATCTTATTCCACTATATGTGGCACCTCAACGTCCTTCTAAGAACAGTTAGCATTTATTCGATTTATCACTCCCTAAATACCAACAGGCCCATCTTATGCCCGATCTCACACATTCTGTTGCCACACTTAGTAGGATACTTACCGTACCTTCCCGGCTACTAAACTTGCCAGGGATAATATATTCGGCCTGATAAGAGCGCGAATTGACATAATAGTTTGACTGTAGGAGTAGGCCCGTACCGACCTAATGACCGATGACAGAAATTAGTCTAGTGTGATCAAGGTGTAGTTTGACCACACCTACAAGCACGGCACTATGGTCCAACAACCCCTCAGCGAAAGCATATTCATCCAACGCAATACCATGATCCTTAACAACCCCCCAGACACGACCCCGCTAGGACCCCCGAGAAAAGGACACCCCCCACAAACCAGGGGAACGAAAACCCCCGAGCGGTAGGCAATGGAAAGGGGAAGAGGGAGTGGGGAGAAATCTCCGCTTTCCGAAGTCCGCCACGATAAAGTAAGCTGGGGTGCTAGGGTGAAAATGTGAGAACGAATAAAAGTTGGGTTTAAGTAACCCTAACATTCGGAGGCCACCCTCTGATTAAGTATGTTCCCCGTCTTTGTGATCCCGATAAGGCGTTGCGGTGATCCCGACCGTTGGCCAAGTGGCGGCGGGAAGTAAATTTTGCTTCTGTAATTTATCACCCCTGTAAGAGTGCGGGGGGGGGTTGGAGTCCCGCTGCGACAGCTACCGGTAGCACAAACTACCTAGTTCGGCTATCACATTTCCTATAATCTTTGAGTGGTCGTACCGATCGATTCGAGTCCCCCATTCGACGTATAGTAGACGGGGTAATTAATAGCAATATTTTGAGTACTATACTTGTACCAGCACTATGAAGTGCAATCGTGAGAAAGTGCATCTTTCCCATGTGGGAAGGTATCATACTGGAAGAACCTCCCACATCTACCATTAAGGAAGGCTGATAGCGACTTCTTCACTCTCGGCTCTCAAGTAAATTTGCCCCGCACTTTTCACCCCACGAACTAGCACTCAAGGACGATAGACACCACCACACTAGCTATGTGAATTACACTATCTCTACGATCTTGAGCGGCACCATTTACTAGCTAGCTGCAAAAAGACCCTACCAACCGCCTTCCCAAGCTCCTAAAATTTCAAACCAAACCCACACCCCGGCGTTGATGGAGATTGGTTCGCCGCGAAGGTATCCGTGTCAAGCAGCTTCAGGCCGCCTGCACTCACAACTAACAGAAAAAGAACGAGATTGAAGCGGAAGGTGTCTCGAGGGAACATAGACTACCAGAGAATCACGTGTTTGAGAAGCCGCCGCGGTTAAAAGGTTACCGACACATCATAGCCAATTTGTTGACTGCCATTGTACCGGTACTCCAAGTGCTCGTACCAGCTGTCCCCCTATGGAAACCAACAACACTAGATTGCAGGAAGAACTTCTGATTCTGGCCAAAGGGGAAGAAGACAGCGCAGCAGAGTCAGGGAGCAGCTGTCATGCCCGAGCGCGAAGTCGCATGACCATATGACAACATATGGTATCACACGGAGAAAGTCGCGGTAAAAAATACCTTTGGATCTCCAATAGCGAGCTTTATCTATCCATTTCCCTCCTACCGGTCTGGATAGAAAAGAAGATTTTAATAAATCCAATACGAGGCGATGCAGCAGGAGCCTAGCATTGTTTTTAGTTTCTTGTTTTTTGTTAAATCATAGAATTTATTTTGCTTCTTTAGGTGCAAACATCTACTATAAAGGCCGTGCAGGAGCCCCCACTTTAATCCTAAGGTATGTTGGTCAAAAGCCTCCTCCACATTCCAAGGGGAAAAACAAGCTACTCCAAGTCTCTCTGGTATGGAATCAACTGCACATTGAATCCCAGAATAAAAAACTAATACTAAGCCAAGCCATCAAAGAATTAAGGATAAGAATTTTCCTGCATAAGAAAATCCCTCATACCACCAGCAACAAAACCAACACATGATGCCAAAAAGGAAATCTTGTAACAAGACTCCTAAGACTACTATTACAGTTAGCCAATTCTATACCCATACTGGTATTAAGAGACTACTGAGATAGGAATGGTGGTAGAGAAGAGTATACCAAGTGGAGATACTATTAATCGAGTATCTTAGTAAAATATGTAATACCATACTAGGGGTACTTAGACCCTATTTGGCAAAAATGCAACCATTTCATTTCTCTATACAAAGAAACTGTTAGGCGGAGATGCCCTGTATGGACTCAGAGTTGTCTGGACCAATGGAGATTTTTTTTTGTAGATGAAGATTTGTCTAAGAAGAATCAAGATATACTCGTTTCATTTATAACTACTAATAGTAAGGTAAAGTACAATAGAATCCTGTGAACAATATGATATTGTTAAGATTCCTTCTCTATTGCTTGATAGTGTCTAAATGCTTAGAAGACACATCAATATTTATATCCTGAGTTTGAGTAGTCCTGAACTACTCCTGCATTTAATACAAATTATATACCTCTCCGATTATAACTCACAATGTCAGGTATTCTCCAAAAGTGCGAACAAGACAGAAACTATAGGCCAGTGTCTTACCAGTCAAAGACAATAACCCCTGCAGAATGCAACTACGATATTGCAAACAAAGTACTATTAACGAGAGTACTAGCATTAAAAGAATGGAGGAATTAAGTTTAGAATACTAGCTATTCAGTCCAAACTCTTACTGACTACCAGGACCTCCTCCCGTTCATAACCATAAAGAAATTGAATAATCTCCAGATAAGATAGATGAAATACTTCAGCAAATACAACTTTAAAATCAAATACTAACCAGGAAGAGATAGTGAAAAAGAGGATGATCTCACAAAGGTTTCTACTGAGAAACTACAGATTAAAGATAATAAAAGGATAAAACCAAATACAGTAACACTATTACTAAAAGCTTACTTTAAGATAATAGAACTGATGGAACTCAAATCGAACGAAGAAAACAGAATCAAGAAGGTAAACGAAAAAGACCAAATAATGGAGACAATAAGAAAGTTGTTAGAAGAAGAAAAAACGGATTTCATGAATGTAGCTTGGCATGAAAAAGGTTTCATGTGACACATAGTTATGAGTCACAGGTATGTTATTGTTTCACACATATGACTCATTCGAGTTATATGATTTGTTATGTGTGGGATTTGTGGGGCTTTCACATATAGCTCAAATATGAGTCATGGGACGTGCGCCTGGCGAGTATGCCTTGCGAGTGTGCCTTGCGGGTAAGCCTTGCGCATATGATTTATGTTTCGTACATGACCTCGTTATGAGGTCATGGGTTTCATGCATATGACTCAGTCGAGTCATATGACTTGTTTATTGCATTATGATTGATTTATGAGTTTTGCACATGACCTCACTATGAGGTCATGGGTTTTGAGCATGTGACCACTTTGGTCACATGACTAGTTTATTATGATTTGGTTTTGCACATGTGACCACTTTGGGTCACATAACTATGGGCAGGAAGAATACTATATAAGAAGGCCTACGTGGCCGAAGAGGATAGGTTCTTCATGCGTTGTTCTAAGTACTTTTCCTCCTTCATTCATCCCGTGTCGGAACGTGAAGGTTCGGTGTCGGTCCAATCAGAGCCCTTGATTTCTATCTCACGATAGGCTTCAAGTCTTTAACTTCGATCACCTTTTAGGGCATCGTTGTTAATCCCTCCCCTACGATTGCTAGAAGTGCTTTCTTCCTCCTACCTATCTTTACGCTTGTTCGTTTACGTCGCCTCCTCACGGTCGCAATGGCTAAGCGAGCCTCTGTCCCTTCTGCCACGTCCGCTTTACGTTCGTCGGTGGTTCTGTCTCGTGCTGTCGCGAAGAACTTCCGCCTGGAGGCTGAAGTCTGTCGCCTTCGGCATCACATCTCTGTCCTTTCTCGGCGATTTCATCGCACTGAGAAGGAGATATCTACCTTGTTGGCTGCCCTGGCCTCTGAACACGATACTGTTCGTGGTTTGGTCACGATTTTGGCGGCTGAAGCTTCGACTGTTATCCCCTCTTCGCCTTTACCCTCGGTCGCTTCGGTTACTGTGGTGGTCTTGGTTGAGGGAGGTGGGCTAGACCCTGAGAATTCTCAGGATCAAGCGGAGGAGCTCCCTCAGGAGAATGTTGCACTGGCGGTTATCCCTGCCCCCCCTGCAGCTGCAGTTGTGGATGGTGGTGTGGGTGGTCCTGTTCCTGATTCGTTAGGATTGGAGGAGGCACTTGCTCCTGGTGTGGGTAGGGTGGATCCTAGTGTGGTGACACCAGCTATGGTGGTATCACCCCCTTCGGGGGGGCAGCTGCCTGAGCCCTCTGTGGCTGAGCTCATGGCTGGTCGGGGAAGCACCTCTAGTGGCATTCCTCCTGTGGTGGTGGGTAGTGATGAGGGTGGCCCGTCCACTCCTGTTACTAGACCTGCGCCCGGGGGTGGGAAGAGGAAGAGAAACAAGAAGCACAGGGTCAAGCAAGACTAGACCTCACCTGTGCCACTTGTTCCCGACTCGGAAGGGTCATCGCCTTCGCCGGTTCGCCGCCTGCGGAGCGGGCTGGGTAGTTAGAGGATGAGTTGAATACTTGGGTGTGTTCGGTCAAGTGCCGGCGGCTTGGGGACTCTCTCGTTCTGGCTGCTTCCGTCAAGGTTTTTGGACTACGCTGCCGGTATGGTGCACCCCGGATTCGCTACGACGGTTTGTACCCCCTCGGCTAGGGAGCCCTCGCCCTGTAAGTCGGCTTTCCTTTTGGGTTTACGCGCTTGGACTTTTTGGGTGTTTCTTTTGTTTGAGATTAGGGGAGGGTGCCTGGCGGTTGGTGGGGATGTCCCGAGATCATTGAGTGGGGGCATTCAGGAGGGTTTCTACTGTGGAGGGGGCTATCGTGGGGTCATATTTAGGTGGCGGTAGTGGAATTTTCGTATTTTGTACGGGTAACTTGGCTGGCGGGTAGGCTGGGCTGAGGAGAATTTTCTTCACCGATGATGGTTTTTGTACTTAGTGTTCGTGTTAGGGCATGGCGCGGGCATGTTTGAGGTATGGGGCTGGAGGTTTAGTTAGTTTGTAGTTAGTGGTATCCGGGATGTGACAACCTGGGGGCCCGGCCCTGGGGCTCGTCGTATGCCAGTGTTGACGGTACAAGTTGAAATAAAATTAGATTGACTTCTAAGTACTTTTCCTACTTATTACTTTAAAATATAAAACACCTTTACAATCTTTATCTTTATTGCAAGGTTATTGTTACGCCAATGAAAGCCCTTGAGGAAGAAGAGTTAGAGAAAGCTTATGATATGCGTTCCTGATAGAAGACAGAAGTCTTGTACTATCGGTAATGTAGGTACAGGCCTAGTGCTATCATAAGACGAAGAAAAGAGACGAAAGAGAAGATAAGTGTTGTTCCCCGTCGCCAAGAACTAACCATCCAAGGAGGGATCATTACATTATAAAGTGTCACCTGGTGCGACGTCAAATGATACAAGACGGCATCCTTCAATCCAGACAGAGAAGGGGATATCGACATTGACGATCAAAACCTCAATCTAGCAGGATTCAGTGACGCCCTAGATCACGTTTCAGTAGAGTCCTCAAGAGCAGCAA